AAACTTTAACCTTCGCCATAACTTTTGAACAGTTGGAGCTTGGTCTTTCAAATTTCACAGGTATATTATTCCTCCAGACAAGACCTTTTTAGGGGTACCAACATTTTTTATCTCTTGACCTGGAGTTTGACTTGCATTTGAGAAACTTTAACCTTCGCCATATAAGCTGCCATACGGGGCATCAGTGTTTCACAAACACATTTTGTTTTATTTTGTGATTAGGTGGGTAGGTTCTGGAATGCAATATGGGCTCATAAAACATGTAAGGGATCAAGAAGAACGGAGTAGTATTTTATTTCTCTATTTAATTAATTAAATAACAGTGATTTTTGTTCATCAAGGCCTTAATTTCTAGCTGCCTTTGAACATTATATTTTTCCCTAAAGGATGTAAATGGCTGGTACCATATATGTTGAAAATAACACATACACAAACTCAATATCTACACCTTTTATCTGATTTCATTTCTTTACACGTTTAAAAAGACATGTATTTTCATATATCCACAAGTACCTAGTATTAGTTCCTCTTTCAATTACATACTATAGTATCTTATACACCCCACATTTAAGAAAATCATTTAATTTTTACGCACACTGTACGTCTCTTTGGTGTCAGAACATTTGGTACCGGTTTCTGGCGTCGCCTTTCCTCCCTTCATGTTTTTATTTGCTTTTGAATAGTTTTTTGTATTTTTGATAATTTATGCCAATAATGTCCACGGCAATAAGAACAAACAGGAACCTCACATTCCTCACAGTATTGTTTACATTGTCTTTTGTCATGTTGTGGACATCGTGGGTAGGTAGGTAATCTTTGTTTTAGTGGTACAGCAGTATGGTTTTTGGATGAATCTGCAAAATGTTTTCCAAGGCACGCCATGCAGAATTTTATGTTACAAAATACACAATGTCGTTCTGCCTTTGCGGCCTCGCACAAATCACACTGTGGGGTATCTTCACCGTTGTCCATGGGGTCCATTTTGTTGTATCTCTATCGATAAGTTGTATACATGTACTACTTGAAGAGAATCTAATAAACAAAAGAAGAAACTGAGTGACACTGCTGTACGTAAACTACATTAATTGAAATAAGGTAAAAGTGTAACCCCATACTAGTATCCAAGCTTAAACGAGAGAAGCTTAAAGTTCATTGAACCCCTGGAAAGAAAGACAACTCTTACTGGAGTAAATTAACCTATTCCTTTTTCCTCTGTAAAAATACATTTCTGTCAAATTTTGGGCCACAAATTATTTGAATGGTCATGTGTTTATTTTAATTATAAATTACATATCCTTTAGGTAATCGTAAGCAATAAAACAAAGCAATAAAAGCAATAAAACAAAATTTCATATGAGATATGATGGCCCTTAAAATATTCTCCAAAATGCAATATCATTAAAAAAAGCTCCCAATAAAAATCAACTATAGGAGTTTCTTAATTGTGCCGTACATACAAAGAACGGACTCAATTTCTTTTAACTGTAATGAACATTCATATGAAGAAAAAAAACGCAATTATTCTCGTAGAAGATTTTTTATACTAATACCCACGGCCTATATCGATATAAATTTAAAACATTCATGCCTTTTAGGATATCCGCTCTCACCCAGGAAGTATAACTCTTAAAATTATTATTTAATTAAAAAAAGTCTCTAAATGAAGCTTAAAATTGTAATCTTTTCGTGCAACAATTTTTATTTCATGTATCTCAATATGATTTAATTAAGGTGCTTTGAAGTTTTGGAAACGGTCTTGTAAAAAGTTGACATTTGTACCCCTAAGAGTATTTAAAGAAAAAATACATTTTTAGAGAAATCAAATTGTATGTCTTGCAATGATAGCAAAAGCTTTTTACACCTTGTATTATATAACAATTGAACTATATCTAGAAGCGCTAAAATACCATGTAAGTATTAAAAAAACATGCATTTTTCTATGAATGCCTGGATACCTATAGTTTTTTTTTTAGCTCACCTCAACGAAGTTGGGGGGGGGGGGGACTTATGTAATACCTTCGGCGTCGGCGTCCCATGTTAAAATTTTTGGAGCAGAATTGTTTTCAAGTACTTCTATGCTCTATATTAATCAGAGATGCACGGAGGATGCTTCTAGTATGTTACGTTGTACCAGTCAAGGTTTCAGATGCTGCAATTTTAGCTGAAGAATGACCAGGTTAATGTTTTGGAGCAGGTTTAAGTTTTTGGAGCAGGCCTCATTTCCAAGTAACTGTAAGACCTATATTGACCAAACTTGCATGCCTTGGATGATACATACTACTGGACTTGCTTAGGATGCTGGATCTGACCCACATTTTTCGGATGAGTGACCAGGTTAAAATTTTTGGAGCAGGTCTCATTTCCAATTACTGTAAGCCCCATATTGACCAAACTTACATGGGTAATAAATGTAAGGATGCACACTACTGGACTTGCTTCTGGATCTGACCTATATTTCCCAGATGACTGACCAGGTTAAAGTTTTTGGAGCAGGTCCATTATCAAGAAACGGTAGTGCTATCTGAACCAAACTCCTTTGGATGATGCATCACGGGATGAACACTCTCAAACTTGCTTCAGATGCTGGGTATGACTTACATTTTCTGGATGAGTGACTAGTTTAAAGTTTTTAGGTAAGTCCATATTGCCAAGTCCCATTTTTATGCAAGCCCCATTGGACCAAAATTGCATACAAATGTTGCCTCTAGGGATGCACACTCCTAGATTATTAGTTTAGTGTGGGACTTTGCCTTACTTAAAGACAACATTCGTTGAGGTGAGCTCGTAATCTCTGATTACCTATGTTTATATTCTAAAATATATTTGTTGATCAATTTTAAATTAGAAAATGCATATATCTGGTGCTTTTAGTCGCGTTTCCTGAAAATATATTTGAGATTTGATAATTAATTTCCCCTATATGATATATGATTAATTAGTCTAATTCATCATAAGGGTTATACATGTAATTTCTTTGTGAATTCAGAGACATTTTTGTGAGCATTTTCAGTAACTGCTGATTTTCGGAACCTGGGGATCGAACTACCTTAACGATTAAGATATTTAATTTGCCAGAACAGAGAAAACCTTTTTTTTCATCAGCTTGAAAACATCGAGTAACTGGACGTGGTATTTCAAGTTAATTTTAGTTTGAAAAACATGCAGTAATAATTGAGTTTAATGTAAAAACGATTTGGCACAGTTTCAAGAGAAAAAAACCTAGCTGTTCTCCCACACAGTACAGTTATGGTAAATGTAAAATTTACAACATGATTAATATTTTTTTTGTTTTGAATAATCATGAACCTTAAATTAAGGAGGCTGGGGGTCAACAAATTAACCACAAATTAACCACCAGATTTAACTTATTTTTTTAGATATGATATCTTAAGCTGTCAACTATCATTTGGCAAAGAAAAATTTCAAAAATTTTAGTTTTAAAATTTGATCATTTTCTATATCTTCATATGGAGCTCTTCTTCTAAAGGAGATCAATATAGTCTAAAAATGGCCACAACCCCCCAGCCTCTTTAAGCCCAAGAAACACGCACACACACAAAAAAAAGGACTCACCATCCTTTAGAGCAGAAAGCGGAATACCCGACTTCCTGGTCTGTTTTCGTATATATCTACCTACATGTTATTGAAATAAAGATATAGGTTCATTTGGATGCATTGAAATGGATATCTATATCTATTTAAACTTTTGTTCCACATGAGGAATTTTCTGTTATGCTCGCTGAAAAACTCTGATATAGATAAGATTGATTTACTTATATTGATGTTGACAGAGATTAAAAAATATATCGGTATTTAAAACTCCTATACAGAAAACGGAAGCACTTAGAGATTCACGTTAACTTTGTAAACTTAACAATTTTTGTTGCAAATATTACATACAAACAATATTATGTTATACCAAGTGTATGTAAAATATTTTATGTATATGTATATTGAATTTCCTTCTGTTTTATATATCCTTTATTTTGTAATTGCCTATTGATTATGTAATCTGATAACCATGCATATGACTTAAGGGATAAATAAACAAACAAACAAAACATTCATGTTTTTGACGATTAAGGTCTGACGACACGTTCCTCAAACATCTGCATGTTTTATATCTCTTTGTAATATTAAAAAAAATAATTCATAATTGTCATTCTCTGATGATTTCTAATTTTTTTTTTTTCCAAAATGTCTTAAATATAATAAGTTCACCAAAAACTGTAATATTGGCAATTCAAAAGACTAGCAAAAGGATTATATACTGAGGAAACACCACCCTCTGGTATCTTGCACAAATGCCTGGTACTTGGTACCTCAATTTTTTGTGTAAAAAGTTGTTAAAGTAGCCATACTTCAATGACAAATTCTTGGGAAAAATTATATATTATTGAGTAAAACGTGTCGTCTGACCTTAAACTGATCATGTTAAATCGCCAGATCAGAAACAAGTTTTTCTTTCTTTTTTATTCTATTAGCTTGAAAATATCGAGTAACTGGGCGTTCTATTTCAAATTTTATATACATGTACACCTCGATCTAGGATTCCGTTGCAAATACAAATAGACCTAATTATATATTCTCAACACCATGTTAGTTTTTATAAAATTAATTTAGCTCTCTGATTAGATTATGTTTGTCATTTTTCCGTCCATCTGTCGACTGACTGATATCTTTTCACATTTTCGATTTCTTCCTCTCGGCCCCTAGGCTAATTAATTTAAATGCATAAAGCTCTGCACCCCTTTAAAAGTAGAGATAATAGCAAAACTTAGGGTGTGATCTTTTTCAATATCTTCTCAAGAACCACTGAAAAAGAAAGGAAAAAAAATCAAACAAAACAAAATTTATATGAAAACTTTAATTTATTGTGAGTTCGGATTTAAAGTACAACCCTTGCCAAATGGACTAAGAGTGGGGCTATATTGGGATCAAGGTTTCACATTAATTGTAACATGTGTGATATGTAGAGAAAGGTTTGTTGTCGGATTTGATCGGGATCGGCGATCGAAGATTTAAATATGGCGGCTGGTGGCATGGCGGTAAATTCGGGTAAATTCCTTTTCTCTCTGAAACATTTGTCTGCATACACAGAACAATATTAATCAACTAACAATTGAGTCTTAAACGTTACTTCCTATGATGATGTATAACTTACAACACCAGTGTGATAAAACAATTTTACATTTAGTTAGAATTTCCTCCATGGGAATTCCCGGGTGTCAAAACTCTGAGGAATGAAGACCTGTTTGCTAATCTATGCAGGGTTGGCCGGGAAATACCAGTGGTAAATACCGGTATTTCCCGTCCCGGGAAATTCTACATATTTTCTCTAAACTGGGAAATACTAAGTTATTAGAGTTTTTTTTTATATCTCTAATTCATTCAATCTGATACAAAATTTAAAAATAAAATAAACATAAAAACAGAAGATGAATAATATGGAATATGTCTCAAATTGCTATATAACATATTCAGAATGTATCACCTACTCCAGGTCCCATACCCAAAAGCATTCTGAAACATTTCCCTGGCTGTACAAAAACTGAAGTTTTTCAATTCAAGTTTCTTTTCAGTTTTGTAAAATTATTAAGTTTATTAATTATAAATCCAAGAACAACAAAAAAACTTGTTTTCATCCTTCTATAAACACTGTAGTTATTACAAACAATCATGTTGTTTTAACAAATTGCTCAGTTTTGTGCTCCTGTTTTGAGAGATAATTACCTTGAGTAAAACTAAAGGCTTCTTCTCAGATTTGATATTCATACCATACTCTACATTTAAGAATTTTCTTCGATCCTTCTTTAGTTACATAAAAACCCAATTGGGATCTTTGTGTTCATTTCATGGACCTTTATAGACTACATCTGACTCAAGCACTCATGATTGGTATATGAATATACAATCTTATGATTACATGTATATAAAATGAATTACTTGGAAACCAGAATTTTTTAAATCGGGAACAGTGATACCAGGTAGATATCTTAGCCAATAAGGTGTACTACATGTCAATATGAATGAAATATGTACCTATATCTTATTTCCCAGTATTTCCCGGGAAATACCAGTAATTACCAGTATTTCCCACCATCCTGGGAAATATGAGTATTTCTCAGTTTTTTGCCAACCCTGAATCTATGATGTACAGTTATAAAGATTGATACATCAACAGATGCTGCTTCATTTTTGAGGATCTCTTTCTTTTAAAGAATTTACTCAACAGAAACTCATGCAGAAAATGAACTCTCAATATTTTATTTAATGATGATTGGGGGGGGGGGGGGGGGGATGCTGGAAGGCCATAAAAAATGATATTAAAAAAGTACAGTTAAATATTATGTTTTGTACACCACCATTTTTTCATAAAGGCAAGAAGGAAAAAAAATTTACAGAATGTAAAATTTTAACCTCTTTTAGTTTCACTTTGTAACACATGTATATAACAGCTGTAAGTTATAAGTATAAATCCATGAATTTACAGTCTTATTGTACACAAACTGACTCATACAGAGACGGACTCGTATGCAAGAATTCAATTTGTATTCAAAACTGTCCAGAAGTCAGCTCGTATAGTAAACACTTGTAAGGTATTTTCTTCTGTTACATAAAATCTTTGTATGAAAGTGAAGTCAACTCTTACACAAGGTTTTTTCTTTTCTTTCTGTCCATGTAAAAAAATTAATAAAATTCACTGGATTTGTAAAATTCAGAAAAAATTAGAACAAATTAAAATATCTACTGTTGTTGGTCTAACAATGAACACCCTTCTGGTTTGGAAATTAAATGATTTTTTTTATTGTTAATAGCAATGCAAACTCAGAGGTTTCTTGAATTTGCAGCAAACACTAATTAAAACATTCACTGAGATGTATCATTTTAGACAAGTTTTATTGAATTATTATGCAATAATACTTTTACAATATTAATTATTTTACAATGTTGGGATCTGATTCAGTTGTGATGATACTATTTTAGAAAAAAAAGAAAAACAAATGATATTCAGAGTGAAAAGATTATGAAACATTATTAATTTCTTTACACAGTCCCATTTAGTTGGGTGGGGATGGGGGACAACCAAACATTTTCAGTGTGGGGGCACACCCAAGAAAAATTCCTTGACAAGCATTAAGTAAACCCAGGGATTTGTCTAGCTATTTTATTTAACTACCCTTTTCATATAAACAGTCAGGGGTGAGACTGAAAATCATCTTTTTTAAAAATGATGATTTCTAGTCATGAAATTGATTTTTAAAAATGACTAAAATTCATCATTTTTATCAAATTGTTAGATCTGAGCGCACTTAATTATCTAGTTAGTTTTACGGGGCGCACTAATTTATTTTGGTTTCAGTTGTTTGTGAAGATGTTTCCCTACACATGGGTCCATGGCAGGATAGTGTACTATATCTTATTACTGTAGTAAATGGGTTGGAAGAATTCACTTGGGAATGGAAATATGAAAACAAGTCATATTTACAAAAATAATAAAAACATGTACATAATGTAGTTAGAAGAAATGACAATTATCAATCACTTTTAAATATGACAGATTTCAGTCTCACCCGACTGATAAATGGGGAAAAATGAGAACAATCGGCTGACATTAGAGCTAGAGGTTTGAATACAGTATGAATGAGAGTCAAGGGACATGTTCCCCCTGGACCTTTTCAAATAAATGTGTCAAAAATCTGCCTTCTGAGAACTAATCTGGGGGGATCATTTTTTTTTTTTAGAACTATCATAAATAAAATCATATTATGTATTTCAGATGTTGCACATTTGTTTACGGAAATTTGCTGTGACTAAAAGGGGAATTTTGATATTTTCCCCAAAGGTGCCATTTACTGGTAGTTAAAAAAACATTGATAAATCCCTCCCCACCCCCACCCAACCCCCAGTTGTTATGGCCCATGTTTCACTCATTGTCAAATAAAATTCAAGTGCCGGTGTGCCAGATATAATATGTATGATACAATATTTTATGTACACAAGAGAAAAAAAAAACTTTGCGTAAGAGTTGACAGTTCATTTTTCCTTGTGTACAAGTTGACTTTTCAGTATTTTATATGACGAGACTTCAAGTTGGCTTTTGTAGGAGTTGGCGTGTGTATGACTCGATTGGAGACCAACGCATGATTATAGTCTGTTTCTTGTTAAATGCACAAATTGCAACTCTTTGTTCTCCATAGAAAATTTGATTTCTTTTATTGTAGACCCAGTTTTTTTGATACTTGATTTTAAAAATGTTGTAGAGGCCAGATTATGGGGGCCATTCAAAGAACTGGAACAAACAGTCCATGCAGCCATCCATAGAAAAATTCCTGATGCCATTCACGATTTGGAAATTGCTCTCAAGAAACATAAGCCAGATTTCATTGCATTGTTAAAGAACCCAGTATGTTTTACATTTTGACTGACTTTTTGTCTGAAAGAGAATCTGTGAACACCTTATAAATTAAGATCATTTGTATACATTTGCGTTTAGTTTGTTTGCAGAGTTTTTTTTTTTTTTTTCCTAAGTCATAATAATTATTCAAATGTATTTAAACATCTACATACCGTATAATGGGTGTTTTTTACGTGCTGCTAATTTTTACGAATTTTATAAATCCGTAAAATTTAAATGTGTAAAATTTCACAAAAGTAAAAAACGCCTCACATTAATTTTCAAACCTCGTATGTATGGGAGTAATGCTAATTGCCATTCAGCTCAGTACTGTTGGTATTTTTGGTCAATTACCTGGTTACTGTATTATTAGTATTTTTACGAGACACAAATTTTCTGATAATTAATTATTACAGATCTTCCAATTATACCCGTTTTTTAAGTCTTTGACCCTTTCTTCTGTTTTTGTGCTTCGAATAAATCAGGATGGTTTGAGTTGTCTTTCTTTGTTTCCAGTAAAATCAGCGTTTTTTTTTTCTTATATAACTGGTACCGATAAACTGTACCATTCCCAATGCCAAAAAATGTTAATTTTTCCCAATTTTGAGATTAAAAATTCCCAAATCAACTGCCAAACAACAGACTACGATGACATCATATTTCTTTTTAAATGAAACATTGTACAAGTTGACTAATTGTTTCACTTCTGCATAAATTAAAAGTAGAGATTAGTCGAAATATGGCGGGACCTCAGACCGATCTGTGATGTAGGCAACGTAGTTTCATACATTTTGACAAATTGAAAGCATGAAAATGCGAAAACAAGGGATATTGATATGAAAAACAGTAAATACTTGTTGTTATTCTTTAAAACACGGAGTAATAGGTTATGAGGTTGGAATAAACGGAAAATATGTTTCATTTGTTTAAATGACAGAAAATTCTCCTTTGTAAGTTTGTTCTACTCCGATGCTATTTTTCCCAATTGAATCGGTACCGGACCCTTTCCCAATGGGTAGAAAAAAATCGCTGAAAATCAAGAGGAGCACACGGTGCACAACAATAATGATACCTAGCAATGTGTATTAAAAATACAGGAATGAATGAAAAGCATACGTTATATAAAGGTAAATGAACAAACATATTTATAATTTGTTGAATCGTTATCACAGGAACAATTTCTTTTCTTTTCCTTTCTTTTTTTTTTACATCAGGTTGTCCAGAAACATTTATTTGAATGTAAACGCATTCAAAGTGCTAACATCATTGATCTGGAATTTTACCTCCGATGATTTAAATTTTTTACAGATGCTCAATTTGTAAAAATTTAACGCGTAAAATTTAAAACACCATATTTGAACCAAAATTTACAGAAGTAAAAATAACCCATTATACGGTATTCTGTGATATGTATGGGTAAATTGATATTAAAAAAGTATTTTTGTGTATCTGTATCAATTTTAGAGTGTGGGGATGGGGGGTATACTTAATCATAGTATGAAAATGTAGATAAGCTTTATATGATATATGGTACTGGAGAGTAGTTGAAGATTGTTGCATTTTAGTAGCTTATTCACAATACACTTGACTACTATACAAGGATTATAAAATAAAGAAGACCTTGATATCTGACCTTGATACTTACAAGAAATACTTTTACAGCCTAAGAATGCCATGTACAGGACAGCGGTCCGTAATTCCACAAAGGAGGGGCTACCAGTTATGGGGGACCAAACCAAACAAACCTTCTCACAACAGTTCATTGAGGAGGCCCTGATACTTAGTGACCTGTTTGATATGAGTGAAATAGCAGCAGTAGAACTGCTAATGGCAGGTAAGTTATCAATTAGCTACAGCAGTTCATAAGAGTTATTCTATGCTTTAGTGTTTGTAAAGGGGGATATTACTTAGTTTTGATTTTAAATTGAAGAATAATTGGAAGTTAATGGGCAAGGGACAGAGATTCATAGTAGATAGAGGAAATGTATGGTAGATATAGGAAATGTTTATTATGTAAACATGATATATATGAGTATTGGATAATTGGTAGATACTCGGAAAATGCATGAGGTATGATACAACCTTTACAGGTAAGGTGCACTGCTATCACAGGTGACTTTTCACCTTTTTACAGGTGAGAGACAGCAGGCAGAGTTCCCTGGGTTGACCAGGGGCCTGGTAGCAGTGCTGTTGTACTATGATGGACAGAAGAGTCTGGTTAACTCCCTCCGTACCCTTCTTCAGTCCAGGGAGGGAAGAATGTGGACCATGGAGTTGACCCCTGACCTCTCCAGCATGGTGAATCAATACACAGATCAACTGATTCAGAAAGATCGTCTTATTAACACTATACTAGGTAACAACTTTACTTTGAAATTTTGACTGGTAATCCAGACCAAAGCAGATAGAGTTTTGATCATGATACTTTATTATTTATTTTTTGCATTTTATCTGAATAAATTTTATTGCATCTTGAGAATAACATGGAGAGACAGTGTCAGTAGATTTAGATATATGTGCATGTACTTCTCTATGACAATTAGGTATGTAGGATTGTAAAACACTGAATCTATAAATGGGTAGGAGCAGCTGGTTAAAAAAAAACTGATGGCTTTGTACATGTATACACAAGGACAGTAAACAAATGCACTCACAATATTTTAATGACAATTTGAGTTATTTTTGGCATAAATGCTTTGAGAATGTAGGAAATTTAAGTAGAAAGAATCCTTTGAATTTTAAATATGGCTACATGCATGTTATACATGTATGTCTAGAAGTTGTATTCAGGTTAAAATCAGAAGAAAATTAAAAGTTTTTTTTTTAGTTCTTGTGAATGTGCATTTAATACAACTACATTTTCAAAATCATTCTACATTACAAATCATTTTGCAGATCAGTTAAACAACATGGACCTAACAAAAGAAATGGACAGACTACAAAGAGATAGGGCCATTGGTCCGCCTAAACACAAGAAACAGGTTTGTGATTTTCTCTGAATAACCTGAAACTGAAATACATGACCTTTATCCATGTCGAAATCTAATTAATGTTTGAAGTGTTTGTAATGTTTGTCTATCCTTGACATTTATTTCTATTGACAATATTGAACCTTGTCTTGTTTTCCAGGTGTCTGACTTGTACAGAGAGATCCAGATTATTTTAGCAGACTGTCTCTTCTGTCTGGCCACACAGCAGCCCCTGGAGAAAGCTGACACCTTGAGGCTGATTCAGCACCTAAGGGCAGACAACTCACTGAGTGCTGATGGCACCCTGGACCCTGTGAGTCTGTGTCTGTTAATGGCTCTGCTGTACTGTTTTGATGTCAGTTTATTGGAACATGAAGACGGAAGAGGTTAGTCATTGATAGTTTACTTATCATTCCAAAAACCACAGTCATGTGTGCTTTTTTAATGTACTTCTCTTAACTCTTTCCCCCTCACAAGCGCCTCTCGACGCCCATCCATGATTACCGCACTAGAGTCTCTCGACGCCTATACAGAATTTCTGCACAAGCGCCTTTCGACGTCTTGTTATTTTAAGACTGTGTGAAAACGAGACTATGACGTCGGCAACTTTGGGGCAGGTATCAAATTGAAGCGTTATTATTGGCCTACAAAAATAAAGTGTGTGCACTGTCATCAATTCACGTGTACCTATAAATAAAGATGGTTTTTACCTTGTATGGTAGGAAAAACGAAAGTTGTTAATTCAAAATGGCGGATTACGAACAATGTACGTTGAGATTATTTCTATTCACGTGACGATTTAGATAAACTTTATGGGTTTTAGGATGCTGAATCGAATACATATATTCATTAAGAATTCATTTGTGCAGAAAAAATTAATTTGGAACATTATAATTGGCCAGAAAATCTTCGACATTTCATGGCGTGCGAGTTGAAAGTCACATGGCCAGTATTCCAGAGCCGATTTTTGTGTAAAAACAACTGCAACAAAAGATTTCTTGGGTGATATGTTTTATCCAAACATTATTATAGACTATGTGCATCACAAAAATAAAAGTGCACGGCGAATAAATGCACAGAAGAGAAAGGAAGACCGTGTCTGGTACAAAATCACTGAAGCAGAAAAGAAGGCTAACTTGGCCAAAAAAAGAAATTAAAAAGATTATCCGTTTGTGTAAACTTCGCAGTGTGCATCTATGCAAAATGTGGATCTTTTCACATACCAAAATAGACATTGAAACCTTTTTATTGACCATAAAATGATTAAATTCTAAATATTTTATCATGAAAAATGCGTGTATATACACTGACTCTTGACATTTACCAAACTTTTTCTTAGTTTAAAAATAAAGGATTGGCTTTAAATTATCATCATTGTAAAGATGAGATTGTGCTGAAAATAAAAATACTTGGTTTTATATATTTATACCCAATAATTTGAGAGTAATAAGAATAAATATAAAGCACTGTGATTTTTTTCTTTATTTCTGAAAATGCCTGAGTAAATGGGGTTATCACTGATGCTAGACTGCTGTGGAGATAAGGCTGCAGCAGTGGCTTGCTACAGGAGTATACAGTAACACCTTATTTTCAAAGCTCTGAGGGGGAAAGAGTTAAAAGATGTTATGAAATGCATTGATTTAATGAATTGTGATAAAATTGTTGTGTATATATTAGACTCCAAAGTCCAGAGGTCTCGCAAAAGTCTGATGGTCTGCACCAAACCCCGATGGTTTGATGTCGGTACAGATGCCAAAGTCCGATGTCTTGTTTCGTTAGAGACACGCCGCGCTAAAGTGTGATGGTCTGACACGCTGAAGTCCGATGGTGCGGAAAAACAATCAACATTGATGATGTCACAATATTCTGATGTCCTTGACGATGTTGTCCTGCATTTAAAAGGCAGCTAATCAGTAATTGTCCTTGCATACAATTTTACTGATTTTGCTATTGCTTGCACCCACCAGAGGTATAAGGGCTAGTCCTCGCACACCACTCCACTGAAAAGGAATAGTCCTTGCACACTATAGGACTGATTAGGGTTAGTCTCGCACTCAAGATATCTAGGTTATAGTTGTTACATACTTTTCGACGTATTAGGGTTAGTCTCACTCTCACACCCGTCCAAGAGATTAGGGTTAGTCCTTGCATTTAATATTTATTTGTATTTTTTTCCTAAACCATCTGACCTTGGCATAGCGCAGCATCCCAATTTGGCACAGTAGTACCATGACATCAAAAACATTATTTGTTTTCCAACGCCATCAGACTTTGGCATGTCAAACCATCAGGTTTGGCACAGACCATCAGAATTTGGAGTGACCATAGGACTTTGGAGTCTTGCACATATTTTCTTTTTTTTTCTGCAGTATATCTTTCTGCAGTAATTTCTGTGCATTGAAATAATAAGAATTATTATTTTAAGGATGAACAAAAAGTTAAACTTGATTATGTTTGACATTTATAGAGATCCTACAGCGATTACCAATGATGACAGACTCGACCTACATACCGGACATACACCAGGATCTCATGTCAACGCGAGCCTGGGCCAACCCTGGATTAAAGAGTGTCGTGTTGTTAGCCTGGGGGGTGACTCTGAGGCAACTCAACCAGTACCAAACCCCCACAGGTAAAATATCAAATCTGATCAATCATTACACCTAAAAAAATGTGTTTCTTTCCTACAACATTCTCAAAAAATCTAGGGTCAGTAGGTCGGGATTTTTTTTTTTTTTTTAGCTAATGAATAATAGGGTCAAACATCCTCGGACTGATTATCCAGGTGTGATATTAACAGCAGACACCCAACGTGGCTGTCTAGCGCAGAAAACGAACTTAAAGTTGGGGGGGGGAAATGCTTGATATAACAATAATGATTACTCTTTATATTTAAGGGAAATGATGATTAGGTTGACATATGTTGTATCCCAAATTAAGCTACAATTAACATTTTTTGTGTAAATTGAATCAGCTGATTGACAGTGTGTGAAATTAACGGTAGACCAATAGACAAAATCTATAGAAAATGCGTCCGGTCTATAGCAAGGTGAATATCTCAAGACCGATTTGTCTATAGAGTAAAATTGGCCATTTTACTCAATACAACTTTTCAGCCAAGGAAAAACTTAAGCTTCAATGCTCTATTGTTCGTAAATCTCCTTCATCTAATCCATTTTGCAGTACTTCATGTTTTATTTATTCCTAAAACGGTGGTTATTTTTTTGTAGTCCGAATTTCCTCAATTCCTCTGTTTATTGAAGATACGTCTAAATATCCCATAAAATTATTTCTTGACTCAGTAAACCAAAGAATGGGTATTGGTTTGATTTATATCACATAAAAAAATTATAATTAAAATACATTTTAAATTTTAACATGGAAAAAAATCAATGTTCACCCTATAATCTATAGGTATGCACCTTTGCAAAAGGGGATAGAAAGATAGTGAAATTCAGTGATATTTATGCATGACTATTGATTAACTAGTACATAAAAATGATAAAAATCATCTTCATTTTCAGCAATATGCTTAATTAATTTTTTTAAACCAATATGGCAAATGAAAAAAAAAAATCCTAAGAGCTTAGAATTTTTTTCTTCTTCAACATGTTACAGTAAACACATTTTTTTGCCTATTCACAAAAGTTTTCATTAACAAAAATTGAAATCTTCTTAGAAATTTTAATGTTCCCTGCATCTGTAAAATTCAACATAATAAATTTACTGTTCAAAGTGTAACACCCCCCCCCCCCAAATCATTTCTTAATAATCATGATTATAAACCTCCATGTATCTTATGCCAATTCATAAATTAATACAGTGTAGGGAAAAAGGAATAAGCAATGGGAAAATATACAATTAAATAAAAATACAGATATATAATTTTTTTGGTCTATAGGAAATTTGTCAGGTCTATAGAATTTCAAATTATTGTAGACCAATTGTCTGTAGCTTATAAAAGTTAGTTTCGTACACTGGATTGAACAAACACAGATTTGGCAGGAAAAAAAATCCATTTGTGGGTAATTTGAATGGGTTGGTGGGGTTACAGTAAACAAACATAATTTTTTTTAGGCCTTATCAAGATGCGTGTGTTACACAGGTATCAAATCAGAATCATAGGTTAACTTTGAAAATTAGACAAAGGGCAATAATTTATCTATGTACCTACTACAATATGTGTTTATTAGGCACTGTTAAAAAGAATGCAAGCATTAGATTGATATACGTGTATGTTGGTATGAAATTCTGAAAAAGGTACCAAGCTTTGAGTTAATGATCTACCTTGCCAACGTTATGTCATGCTGGATTGTGAATAAATTCTAAATTCTAAATTGCAAGATAATCATGATAATGCAACTGCTTTAAGGTGTGCAGTTTTAGGAAAATAAACTTTAAACTTATTTTCAACATGTTTAATGTCTTAGATGATAAGAGTTGAGACTTATTCATGACTCGCTGAGTCTCACTCTTGATTAACTCGAGTTAAGACTTCTTTATGACTCGTTGAGACTCAATCTTGATTTATACTTGTTTTCTAGGAGTGAATGGAATTTGTGAGGAGGATGAGGTGGTTATTAATGAGGCCCTAGAAGCTAACGTGTTTCACTTCCTGCGGCTGGCTGTGGTGGCCGTACATGATTTCCATAAAGAGGTAGGTCATTGGTGCATATTCGAAGTTGCCATCAAAATTCATGCATTTATATTTTAGTAATGAGTAGGGATGTCAACCAATATTTGAACATTCAAATATTTATTCGATGAGTTAATATTCGAATATGAATTTAAAGCAACAGTACGGCTCCAAAATGTGTGCTTTTTCATCCAAATTTACCCAATATGTTATTAAGAAATAAGGTATAAAGTTGATGTAAGCAGTTTGAGAAACAGAAATATTCTCTACTCAAACAAAATTAACGTAATTAGAATCTGCCGGAAAATCAAGGGTCGTACGAACTGGAGCAATCTTAGATCTGTTTATTTGTACCACGTGAATTCTAAAACGGCACGTGCCTACACTATAGAGTTTACAGTTATAATGAATATTAGGGCTATTCCAGGAAAAATTGTATGGGGGGGTTGGAAGGCACTTTTATTTTTACCCCACCACCCATACATTTTTAATTACCTTCTACCCCACCCCCCATCAATTTAAAATTGCTTTTGATACAACCACCCATCTAAAATTTAAAAAAAAAAAATTGTGTCTCACATATATATGCAATAAAATTTTATGTACTTTTTTCAGGTATTGTAATTTATCTGACTTCGAATGAGTGTTGGGTTTTGACATCTATCCAACCAGGGCCCGTTTTACAAAAGAACTTATGACTAAGATCAAAGTGTTATTATGCAAATAAATTTCTTTTTTGCATTACTTTAAAAATGTTTGAAATCTTTCTGAAAAAAATAAGATAGTTTATGCCAACAATTTTTAACAGAAACATAAGTTTTTTTAAGATTTTATGAACAACTAAAGTTCTTAGTCTTAGTCATAAGTTTTTTTGTAAAACAGTTCCCTGTGTTCCTGCTGCAGCTTAAAAAAATATGTTCCTTTAGGCTTATGATACACACCACTGAAAACCTTTATTATACTTGATTTGTATATCTGTTCTGATGCATGACTTTGTAGTCTGTAAAGCTTAGGTAAATTTTACAAGTATGTGTACACATGTACTAGTAGAAATGACATTCCTACAATTAATTAAAATTAATATTGTAAATTATAGTCTAGCTATCCTTAACAATTGTTGTTCCCCTTGTTCATAACAAAATGATTCCTGCTTCTTTTTTTTTTGGGGGGGGGGGGGAGGGGGCTTAACTTCTGTAGGCAGTGTCTGTGAAGTGAAAACTTTGATTAAAAAAATATATTTAATGAATTCTAAATCCCATCTAACAACTTAGACCATTGGTGCATACAAGTTCGACAAGTTAACATGTTAACAGGTTAAGGACTGGCATGTTTTTGACATAATATATTTCATATTGTTTTCAAACTCATATCTCGTCTTCCTTTTACTCTGTATGTGGTGTAAAGTAAAATATTTGACTTGCAAACTCCGTAGTCATGCTCTAAAATGTTCATTATCAGATACGTTTTTTTTTCTACTTTCGGTTTAAAATAAAACGATCTTTCTGATTGTTTCTAATATCATTTAATTTACCAATGTAATCATGTTTGATTAAACTGGCGAAAAGAAACTGGACCAGGGAGTCCAAAGCACAACTAATCCGTTTTCCAATCCCCCACTGTCATTGCAGTCACAATTGCACATGCTTTTTTAGTTATCTGCCCTTGTTTCCGTTTTGTTCGATTCTACTTTCACTTTCAATGTAAACACACTTTACAACTGTTTAGGACGAAAATATCAGTATTTACCGATTTATACAAAATGAGAGGAAAGAAGTACTTTGCACTTGATTATTTGTGAGGGTAAATACAACCACCCATCTAAAAATATATCAAGTCAGGACAACCACCCAATGGCATACAAATTTAATTGCTCCAGACCCACTACCCATACAAAAATATATGAAGTGCCGTCCAACCCTCCCGTACATTTTTTCCTGGAATAGCCCTTAGGTGAAAGCAAGTTTCAAAAACACAAATTATCATAACTTTCTGATAAAATAATCTAAAATAATAATCGTAAAGATTTTAGTCTGCATTCGGGCGAATTTAACAGAATTAAAAGTACAAATGTTTACGTTTTGTGTATTGGGGTCTGAGAAAGGAAAAACCAACTAATCATGTTATCGCGGCAAATGTCAAACAAAATATTTTTCTGCACAGTTAAAAAAAAATAGCATTTCAAATGGCAACAATGTTTATAAGTCAAAAATGTATTTTTTATGTTGAGTTTACACTACTTTTTTTTCTTTGAAAGCGACGGAAAAATGAGAAATGATAACTAGTATCAACAAACCTGTCGAATAGAACCTTCGAGAGCCCTGCGTGAGTGTTGCCGAGTTCCCGTTTCTTCCTTATCCAGCGATTTTATTAATCCCCAAACTAATTTTAGTCAGGAAAGTTGCTTTTTCAAGTTCTATTTTCAGTTTCTTTTTCTTTTTGGTCGACTTTGTCAATGTAGCAGGCCTACCGGGATTCCCTCTCTAACCAGGCTGTTTTGTTTATGAAAACTACGCATGCGTGCATAGCATGGAATGTGGAACCCCGAACATGTTGCGATGTATATATTTACGTCCCATAAATAACTATTAATTTTAATGAAATAATCCAAATTATTTAATTGTAAAAGTTGTAATTTTCTGAAAGTTTATTCATTTATGAGTAGTAAAAAAATTCCAAATCTTGTCGGAAAATTTTATCTAGTCAGTTTTTTTGATGAGATGCGCCGTACTGTCACTTTAAGATTCGAATATTCGGTATTTTTCAGATTTCACAAAAAAGAGATAACAAAAGAGTGCTAGAATTATTCCCGTTTATTTACTAGCAATGCCCTGATTTCTTTCACTTCTTTCTTATCTAATAGATCTAAATTATTTCATTTTGAGTAAGGCATAAAAGAAATAAACAAGAATTATTAATGTATAATACAAAAAGAACATTCAATAATTTAATATGATCGGATCTAGAATCGAGGACAATGGAATGAAACCTTTCTTGAATGTACAAGAGACACGTGAAGAGTGTACTTATGAAAATAATTTTATTGATCATTGAATTACATGTACATCTTTGATAGAATCAGCCTGTAATATAAAGGGCTTAATTTCAGAATAATGCATCAATTACTTGATTATCTCGAGTTGAATATATTCCCAAATTTTAAAATCATTACCGGGATATTAATGACCTAGGATAATTGTCTATGAAAGTGTTTGTTTATAATTTCAAAGCATTGTATCAAATTTTATATTCTTATTAAGCAGATAATTGTAATAATTACGTGTATTTAAATCTGAAGAGTAAACTGGTTAGATGACAGGTTCATCATTTTGAGCTTGTATAGATATCATTTGTTAAAATTATATTTTGGTTGTATACGCTTTATCAATTATTTATTTTAAACATTGACAAATATCAAATGTAGAATTCGTTTTTGTATACATAAAAAAGTGTACAAGAAATACATGTATATGGAGATAACAAACAGTATTAAAGCTCCAATTTTACTTCCAAATACCGACACAAAACCTGCCATGAGAGTATGATGATGTAGATTTAAAATAAACCAGATTTTATTTATTTTATCGAATATTCGAATATATTCGAATACTTTCATTGAATATTCGAATATGAATTATTGACAAAATTGACATCCCTAGTAACGAGTCTAACAAGAAGTTTTTTGACAAGTCATGAATGTGACTCTTCAAAATGAATCCTAAATAACAGGATCAGGACGTTTAGTCATGTGATCATAAAACCATTATAACTGTTTTGTTTTGCAGGAATATTATCTGAAGAAAATCCACGGGCTGATTACCGACTTCATTTTTCACATGCCACTCAAGGTACTAATGTGACACCAAAACAAATAGTTGATGCATTTGATCGAAAAATGGGCCAATTTTTCATGAATAACTTTGAAAAGAAAATTTACCATATTTCAAATATAAAGAAATGAAAAATTACAAAATTCGTATAATTTTCTAAATTATCCACTGTTGGACAGTGGAAAAATAATTCTGTTTGAAAGGTTGATAATTTTTTAATAAATATTGGTTGTTGTAAAATATTTGACAAAAATTCCTCACATGAAGAAGAGAAATAAAATTAGTCAAAACCGTTTATGAAGTGGTAAAAAGTTACGTAGTTTAAAAGTCTGTGAAAGAAACTGTAGTGGGGATATTTTTACAGGTGAAAGAGCTCCGTACAAGAGGAGATGAAGCAGCGAGAATTGCGGCGTCCCAGAGTTCCTTAGAACCTCCCACGTCACCCAGTCACGGCTTCCAGTACTTACTGAGACTGGTATGTTACTGTCCCTGTAGTGTTACTGTGTACATCAACATAATTAAGGGTACATTGACCCTCTGACAAGAGAGATAACTTTTAGTGGGATTTATGACAATTATTCCTGTAAGAAATAGTCGGGTTAAAGGGTGATTTCCTTAAAATTTTGTGCCACAAGGTATGATGAGATTGTTGATATTCAATTATTTCTCAGATTTCTTTTGGAAAATCATCATATAAGCAAAATTTTATATTTGTGGCCAGAGGGGTGGTGAACCATAATTACATAAAATCCTACTATCATGTCATACATTGTAGATAGGAGATTTATACAGGACTGATCCCCTCTGTCTGCGACTGTCTGTGGAGTACTGGTGTCCTCAGGATAACTATGGACCTCACGAAACGATGTACAACGTTAGACCTCCACAAAGACAGGTAGATATAGTATCATATAGTATAATGTAATATAGATATTAAATACTTATACACAGGATAACTATATGGACCTTTCAAAGCAACAAACAATGTTAGACCTCCCAAAAGACTGGTAGTGATAGTATTACATGTTTAAAAAATATGATATATTGTAAGGTTATAAAAAGGCAGTGATGTTATCATAATATTGTGCATTAAGTCATGTATACCGGGGTAAGCAAGTTAAGGACAGCAAAATGGTTTGAGCACATACCTGTACGAGTGTTATATATGGGAGAAATGTTACTGACATGACATGTTATACAAAAACAAGCAGTGATAGTAAAAACAAAATGGATAAAAATGGGTTATAAAAATATATTAACATGATAGTTTATTTTAAAAAACATATCATAATTTCATATAATACTTGCAACTTCACAAAGATTTACACTCGAGTATAGTTTTGAATCATTGGTAGACAAAAAACAATTTTACTATTGGATTTACATTAGACAAAGAGAAAGGGATGTGAATTAAGTAGAGAATGTAGTGTGTATGAATTTTTTATTATAGGTGTCACTCTACAAGTTTGTCCGTCTGGCGGGGGATCTCCTTCCCCCTTCCCTCTACGTGCCATACATCCAGATGCTGATTGGTCTAAGCAGTAACCCACAGTCAGCCCACTATTGTTTTGACCTTCTCAAGGTCAATGGAATGGGATCAGGTAAATAAGATATCTTTGATAGCTTCAGTGGAATTGTGTATCCAAAAAAATTTGAATGACAGATGTTTTTATGTGCTGTCACAAATGTTCTTATGTGCATCCACAAATGTGAAAATAGAACAGGTCTTAGGGCATGGGAGATTTGAGCAAGCACTGAGCTACATGTATCTTGGTATACTATATGAAATGTTTCATATACTTGTCTCATACATATATTTTATTTTTAATCAGGAGGCCCAGCCAGTGCTGTTTCATGGCAGCACATTTTCCTGTCATTGAATCAGTACTATGCAAGTTTACGTCGGGAGGTTCCTAGCGGTGCTGACATGTCTCACATGGGACTTCGTGGACCCCACCCCCGGGGAATCACCCCACAGGAACTGGAGGGGCTGGTAGTTGTCCTGAAACTGTGTCGTGTTGTGTCTGAAAATGTGAGTACATTGACCAATCAATTAACATATTTAAAATATGTACAGTGGTATATGTATGTAAAAGTCTTTTTAATCAGGTAAAGAAATAATGCTTCAAAAGTCAAGTACTTTGATCAACCCGTGATTCATAATAGCTTGATATAAAGGCATTTTGATTATGTGTTTGCATTATGAGTTATATTAAACAATAATGAATAATAAAATTTTAATTTTCTCAAAACATAGCAGAGAAAGAAATAGAGACTTTAAAGATGAAATCTAATGTCAAAGCTTGCATAAAATTAAAGTACATTTTACTCTTTAGCACCAGAAAAATTGACTTGTTGTATTACAGAATGAGAACTGTCGCGTGGCTTTCTGTGAAAACCAACAGTGGCAGGTGGCGGTGGTGTTATTTGGACTGGTGACATGTAGTATCCCCCTCGATCTTAAAGCAGAGATCTTCAGGGTGCTGGCGGCATTTGCAAAGACGCCGGATGTGGCTGCCAGTCTTTGGCATATGCTGGAAGCCTCCCAGGTAGTCATTGAAAAATGGCTCTTTATTTAATTTTAATTGACATTCAGTGTGTTTGTTGCATTGTGTAATGTTATATTAAAATTTTGGCACCAGAGAAGAGGGATCTTGGCATGCATCTCACCTCTCTCTTTCCCTCTGTCTTTTATATACTGTAAATTCCTTATTTTATGCGAGTACTTAATATCGCGAAATGACCCAAGGGCGTCAAATCACGAGAACAATAATTCGCAAATGGGTGATTTATCTAGAGATTTTACATACATTAAAGCACCATAAAAATAAAAGCGAGTAATTTTATTTCGCGAGTGGTGCTTCTCGCGTAATTACGTGATAATTTATTCCTCGCGTATATTTAGGAATTTACAGTACTGTATGTATGTGTGTGGATATACCACTTAGATTAATTTGTTTGCTTTGTTTTAAAGATTTTGACAACAGTTCAGAGCAGCAGTTCCTCTCAAAGTGGAATCCAGGTAATTGTTTTTCTCAGGTAAATTTTGTTTCTCTTGTAAATCTTTGTTCTCTTACAACTACCCTATGAAAAACAGACAAAATTTACTGTAAATGTAGACCTTTAACCAAATAGCAATATACATGTACAGTAACTATGTATTGCTTTATGAAATAATTCATTTAAGGGATCAATATTTTTTTAAGGGGGGGGGGGGGTGTTCTGACCTGAATTGAAATTCTCATTTGACTTTTCAAATTATCAATGAATTTCAAGTCACATCATAAGGAAATAAATGGCAGTTTTGAACCCTGTGTTCAACATTTTGTAATTAGTTCAAGTCAGAGTTAGTTTAAGAGTAGTTATCTATGTTTGATAAACCTTACAATTGATAATTCTTATGTTTGTAAGAGTCTTGTACCTTGATTTCTGTTTTGCCCTGTAGGTGGAGCTGGAGGAGGTGGAGACCCGAGCGGAGGAGTTTCCCATGACACGAGCTTTCCTGTCCTTACTGGACTCCCTCACTGATATTCCTGTCCCCCCAGGCCTCGGGGCTGGTCTCAGGGCACCAGGATTTCAGCCATACCTGGAGTTTGTCAAGGATAATGTGTTTGAGAAGTTTTATGCTCGAAGTTACAAGAATCCATCAGAAAAGGTTTGATATAAGATTTTTTAAGGTCATGACAATCTTGTCAGTAAATAGCTACACTGTACTTCCATCAAGTAAAATCACTTTATAGCTAAAAATCAACAATAGGCAAGAAAAAGAAAAAAAGGGTAAAAAGAGATTGTAATTATATACTTTTTATTAGTTATCTGTGATTTGAATTGACATTTATTGAAAATGAGGTAATTGTATGTTACTTGTCGCCAAGGATAACAGTTACTAACAAATAGCTTGTGGCTAACTAAGGATCTTGTGTAAACTGCTGGGGGATTGATTTATTTTAACTCTTTCCCCCTCAGAGCTTTGAAGATAAGGCATTACTGTATACTCCCGTAGCAAGCCACTGCTGCAGCCTTATCTCCACAGCAGTCTAGCATCAGTGATAACCCCATTTACTCAGGCATTTTCAGAAATAAAGAAAAAAATCACAGTGCTTTATATTTATTCTTATTACTCTCAAATTATTGGGTAAAAGTATATAAGACCAAGTATTTTTATTTTCAGCACAATCTCATCTTTACAATGATGATAATTTAAAGCCAATCCTTTATTTTTAAACTAAGAAAAAGTTTGGTAAATGTCAAGAGTCAGCGTATATACACACATTTTTCATGACAAAATATTTAGAATTTAATCATTTTACAGTCAATAAAAAGGTTTCAATGTCTATTTTGGTATGTGAAAAGATCCACATTTTGCATAGATGCACACTGCGAAGTTTACACAAACGGATAATATCTTTTTAATATCTTTTTTTGGCCAAGTAAGCCTTCTTTTCTGCTTCAGTGATTTTGTACCAGACACGGTCTTCCTTTCTCTTCTGTGCATTTATTCGCCGTGCACTTTTATTTTTGTGATGCACATAGTCTATAATAATGTTTGGAGAAAACATATCACCCAAGAAATCTTTTGTTGCAGTTGTTTTTACACAAAAATCGGCTCTGGAATACTGGCAATGTGACTTTCAACTCGCACGCATGAAATGTCGAAGGTTTTCTGGCCAATTATAATGTTCCAAATTAATTTTTTCTGCACAGATGAATTCTTTATGAATATATGTATTCGATTCAGCATCCTAAAGCCCATAAAGTTTATCTAAATCGTCACGTGAATAGAAATAATCTCACCATACATTGTTCGTAATCTGCCATTTTGAATTAACAACTTTTGTTTTTCCTACCATACAAGGTAAAAACCATCTTTATTTATAGGTACACGTGAATTGATGACAGTGCACATACTTTATTTTTTTAGGCCAATAATAACGCTTCAATTTGATACCTGCCCCAAAGTTGCCGACGTCATAGTCTCGTTTTCACATAGTCTTAAAATAACAAGACGTCGAAAGGCGCTTGTGCGGAAATTCTGTATAGGCGTCGAGAGACGCTAGTGCGGTAATCATGGATGGGCGTCGAGAGACGCTTGCGCGGAAATCCTGGCTAGGTGTCGAGAGGCGCTTGTGAGGGGGAAAGAGTTAATGTAAAGTTTTACTTTACAGTGGGAGGTGGCTAGTGACTGTGTAAGGATCCTATGTAAACTGCTGTGGGATTGATCTACTTTAACGTAATGCTTTACTTTACAGTGGGAGGTGGCTAGTGACTGTGTGAGAACCCTATGTAAACTGCTGTGGGATTGATTTACTTTAACATAATGCTTTACTTTACAGTGGGAGGTAGCTAGTGACTGTGTGAGGATCCTGTGTAAACTGCTGCGGGAGTATGAGGTGGTGGGCAGTGACTTTGGGGAGGAGTTTGTGGAGGTACAGATGGGGGGCATAGTCCCTGCCAACAAATCTCCAGGGTACATCCTTATGCTACACCTGCTGAAGGACTCCCACTTCCTGTCCACGGTAAGATTCACAGGTGTTTTAACTACACTCAAACTCAATGGGACCAAGAAAAAATCTATGAGTATTTCGAGATGCATGTATAAAGGGTTCAAGACAAATGGGCAAACTGGTCTAAAAACAGATGTTATAAAGTATGCATATCTTCATGTTTTTATGTCACACATCTGTTTGAAATCCATTGGTGTACCTGTAAGTTACTTCATTAAGAATTAAAATTATTTTTAAGGTGTTGAAAATACTAGACGACAGTGTTCGACAACTTGAAACATACAAGACGATACCAGGTAAATAATGAAATTTTAAATTAAGGTCTTTTTATTTGAGTTTTCTTCACAGAAGAACCTATCTTGATAAAAATTAAAAATTGTAAGCATGCTTATTGCGTCCTAATTGACTTAAATAGTTTTATCCAAATGTATTGTTTTATTTATTGATTTTACTAGCTAAGTTTAATGTTAAGTAAGTTAATTTGATTGTTGATTGGTCTGGCTAATGTTAAATGAGTTAATTTGATTGATTGGGCTGGCGAAGTTTAATGTTAAGTGAGTTAATTTGATTTGCTGATTGGACTGGCTAATGTTAGGTGAGTTAATTTGATTGGTTGATTGGACTGGCTAAGTTTAATGTTAAGTGAGTTAATTTGATTGGCTGATTGGACTGGCTAATGTTGAGTGAGTTAATTTGTTTGGTTGATCTTACAGGACAAGAGGCCTTGGAGTCTGCCAGCCTGCTGTGTTTACAGTTGATAGAGACAAGTCTGGAGAAGTCGGGGACATTCCTCGACGCTTGTCGTGAGACCGGAGCCTCAGCCATGGTGTCTGCCATGGATCGTCTTCTACTGAGCATAAATCCACGGAGCGGAAAAGCTGACCACCTCGTCAATGTCACAAAGTAGGTCACAAAATCTGTAATGTCAAAAAAGTCAAAAATAATCCATTTAGTTCAGTCATCAGTATTCTAGTTGTTATTTTCACTTCACAAAAAAGTAATAATAAAACAAGCATACAAAGTATGTACATGTATACCTACATTTTGATTGATATAAGAGTCTTATTGCTTATAGTCATATAAGTTTAAAGAAGAGCAGAAATTTGAAGATGATTGTAACATGAATTTCAGCAACCTATTTTGTGTTCATTGTCAGAATAAAAATAAATAAATGTTTATTTTATTATTATTATTATTGAAAACTTTCTGTAGATTTATACAGTTCAGCATTCCCCTTCCTGAGCATGCCCAGTCTGCCATGAAGATCCTGTATCGCGTGTGTCACTCCGCTCCCGTCCAAGTAGCACTTGTGAATCTGTTTACATCAAATCAGGTAACTGTGTATTTTTATTGAGACACCAAAATGAACATTTTATAAAAGCATAAATTCTCCCTGAATAGATTCCATCTTTGTCTGGTTGGTACTGAATTTGATGCTACATACACTGTGCCTAGATCCATTATTAAGTTGATGGATACACTGGATTGTTACATGTATTAGGCATATGTAAGTAAAATACATTAGCCTTGTCATTCTTGGCTTATATTATCATATCAGTAAGTTTTACAATTCATTATTTCAGACTTCTCATCTGGAGCTGCTGCATGGGTTTGTGGAATGTCTGGAAGTGGAGGAACCAGAACAAATGGTGGAGAAGACAATCCACTTACCAGAGGAAGAGGGTAACTAGGGTTACAACAGTGAACTGGAGAGAGAGGGGGGAATTGATCTGATAGTGATAATTTTTTCTTTAATTAACATGAGTTTAAGAAAACAGATGTTGAAAGATTACACTATAATGGAAACATTATGTGTCTACTGTTATGATTTTTTTTTCCAAGTAATGCCATTTTATTAAATAGCTTTGGTATTTTTGCAGATGACTCCCGTGAGATTGGCCACGTCCGGAATTCCACCAGACAATACCTGCTTCAGGTCCTACTGAGATCTCTAGATCAACCTTCACCAAACTTAGCACACCTGCTGCTGGGGTTTGACATTAGGAAGTCTGTTAACAGAACTCTTCTGCAGGATCCAGGTGAGCTAAATGTTGTCAAGAAGTTTTGTCCGGAAACACTGCATTTGTACACTTACAGAAATGACTTGATGAAATTAGTACATGTACTTTATGACATAGTTAAAATTAATTGATAGAATTTGATGGAATTATTAAATGAGCTCCAGTGTTCTTGGAATGTGTTGTGCACTTTAAGTTAAAGTAAAAAATATCCCTGACAAAGTTTCCTACCATATGTTTTATTTTTCTGTAGATGAATGGGTTTTGTAATGTCCAAATACATCTTATCGAAAATACCTACAACTTTTCAAGTTTTACTAATCCTGATTAATATGTTTTGAGACTGATAAAATTTGTTTTGAAATAAATATGTAGTCCAAAATACAAAATATCCTAAAATATGCTAAGGTAATTCTGCACATTCAGATACTGATTTATATTTCTAAAACCAGGAATCCTGGGGTCACCTAAGACTTGTCTACATGCTGTTCTGTCCCTGTTAGAGAGGGGGGTAGGGACACACTCGGGCCCCACCTGCCTGAGGGACACTCCACGGCTATCAGAGCTGGCCTACAAACTCATCTACCTCCTAGCTGCCAACAGGGAGACATCCACGCCCACTTTAAGATATTTACGTACAACAAGGGATTTCTTGTACAGACAGCTTCAGCATTTGCCATTCACTCAGCAGTTTTATAGTTAGTGAATATTTTGTAATGAAATTTTGCATTTGGGACAAAAAATTTTAAAGAAAAATTTAGATTATTTCATTTATCCTTTTCAAAGGGTTATTTCAGTGACATATTTGCATGTATAACATACACTTTTTCATGTGCAAAAGAGGAGCTAGTCCAAGCTGGTATGTTATCAATTTGTGACCCTATTTTTAGAACGCCCAGTAATGATTTCTCAGTCTTGGTTGCTGAAGCTGATTGCCATTGAACTGCGACTGACTGCACTGAACCGTCAAAGGTCACACACACTGAGGTTAATGAAAGCCCTGCTGGATGATGGGTCAGAAGGTCAAACAGGTAAGGTCAAGTTCAAAGGTTACACACTGAAGTAAATGAAAGCCTTTCTCAATGACTGGACAGAAGGTTAAAAAAAATATAAGATCAGGATCCGTGACAGTCTGTATGGAAGTTAGAGCAGGACATGTAGCTTTACAAATTGTGTCAAATTTCTTTAACATGTAAGAAAGTAATTGTTATTGGCATTGTTAGAAAGGGAATAACTCATCAAATCATAGATAAACTTGGGAAACACGAACTACAAACAACAGGAATAGGTTTATGTTGAAAGATTTTTTTATGCATTTAAAGCAAATCATTTCTAGAGTTAGCTTGTGCATGCAGTGTTCAAAATCTTACATTGTGTAATGGTGAACATTGCAGATAAATTTTGCTGTCTTTACAGTGTTACAGCCAGCAATAGGAGACGAAGCTGATCTGACGTATGACAGATTTACTGATCAGAGTCTACAGACATCGTATCTGTCTCAGACAGCCAGACCATTCAGAAGTAAGCAAAGAACAGCATGGATATTTATCACACTGCTCTTCTGTTGCTCTTGTAAACTGTTTCACACTGCAATTTCATTTCTCAGGTCGCCAAGTGCGAAGAAAATTGCTAGGACTTCTAGATGAAGTTGATTTTTCACAGCGCTACCCACCTACAATGCAGCTAGAGTTTTTTGAATTGTCAATGATAGAACAAGCCATCAAAAGTGTAGAAACTCGGACTGAACAGGACGTTTTGTATTGTGATGTCAAACGACTTCACTGTGTACTGATGAACGAACTAAACAATTACCAGGGCAATATTATGGTGACCCAGAGGCCTCGGGTTCTAGAGGTGAGGTCAATATCAAGATTATTAAGGGGCCTCAAGCAGTAAAACCTTTCTTACTTAGTCCTCTTCATGCCAGGTGGCACATAAGGCAGCAACTCAGTCTGTCCCTCCAGTCCAATCCTATGCTTCTGTTTCCACTGTCCTCCAGGACAACTCTGTTTCAGGTCACTCTCTGCTGTTCTTTGCCATGTTGTCTCTGGCCTGCCCCTTTTTCTTTTGCCGTCAGATAAGGGAATGTTAAAATTTTAAGAACACTATACTACTAACAAAAATTTACAATTTTATAAACTTTGCAGGAAGTAGAGAATATTCTCCAGCATGTGGTCCTACGTAACAGAATCAGACAGGAACTGTACACTAAACAGCAGGCTCTGGAGGCGTGGCGACAGGTCACCGAGGTTCTGTTGACCGCGTGTCCAGAGGACCTACTGACCGCCGAGGACAGACAGACCGTCTTGTTTGAGCTCCTACAGGAACTACAGAGAAAGGTGAACAAAATCTTTATGCCTTGAAGTCTTGGTTGCCAACCCAGAGGCTCTGGTATCTTATTTAGTTGACAGTTTTAACCTACTAGAATTTCAGCATCTAATTATGGTCCATTTTACTTTTGTATATTAAAGGTTAAAGTGTAAACCTAGCTAAAAATGTTTTTTTTTTAAGATATGGATTGAAAATTAAGAACTTTTTTTTTCTATCTTATCACAAATATTCTTGATGACAGTTGCTTCATTAGCGAGAAAGAAAAGTTTTGTTTGATTTTAGAGAGGGGAAAAGCTGTATTATTGCTTCCCTTGATACTGCATTTCATATCGATAATTACAAAGCTATTCATTAATTTTAGGTGACAGAAGATGATGCATTGACAGAGTTAACTGCCCCTGTAGCTGGAATCATTCTGACACTGATGACAAATCTACGTCAGTGTTTCTGTCAGGATTCAGTCACTGATGAAGAAACATCGCAATTCCTCACCATGCTGGACTCCACAGTAGGTCAAGGTCAAACAGGGTCATGGGGTCAAGTGTCAGGGTCAAGAACTCAATTTGCTTCTTCACTTCAGTTGGTGCTGAGAGGAGTAATAGATCACATTCTTCTGTCCAGTAAGTTTACATTGATTAATTGAATTTTTTGATTTTCTGCTTAGAATGAAAAATAAAAAACAATGAATAAATTGTACATGGTTGAGAAATGTTGTTTTAATAGTTGACATTTCTGTTTAGGCGGTGGTCAGCAGAGAGTGAGAGCCAATCTATATGGAGCCCTTCTGTATTATCGACAAATTGCCCAGAAACCCAAATCACTGACTCATATAGATACAGGTATGTCTTTAAAGAACCAATCTGTAAGGATCTCTTCTGTATTTTTTACAAATTGAACAGAAACCTAAGTCACTGACTCACATGGATATACAGTGCTACCTTGGTATATTGCCCTGTTATATTGCCACCCCCGCTTATTGCCAGGAATTCTCGAAGAATGGATTTCCCCGTGTTAATACACCCGTTATATTGCCACCCCCACTTATTGCCATCCGCCACTGATTTTGGAAAACAAAAAGTCTTATTATATAAGGAAAACCCTCGATAACAATGCCAGTTATCTAGAACGTGTCGGTAATTCGGACAACACACCCCTGCTTTGACAGTGGTTGCGGTGAAGCGTAACTGGCTGGACAAGGAATTCAGCTAAATTAAAGATGATTGTTGAATAAAACTCAAAATTAGTAATGTCTTTTTCGTGTTTTTATAAGATAGAAGAATTATTTCATCACAAAAATGGAAACGTCAGACAAGAGAAAGCTTACAAAGAGCTAGGTTCACTTTATGCATAAAATGGCCCTGTAGATATACCATTTTATTGACTAATACCCCGTGTACCATTTTCCACATTATTATAAAGTAGAGACTTGGTGCTTTCAGTTTATACAACAGAATTTCCTTTGAAGAGTCCAGGCATTGAAAAACAGGTTGTGTGAAACTGCAGTGTTATTGAATTTCGCAGAAAACAGGTGTTTTTTAGAACCTTCAGCAAAGAATAAAAATATGAGCACACCCCTCAATCCAAAAATTAAAATATGATTTATAATCTTCATTAACAGTTCTTTTATAATATATTTACACATTTTGGATCGGAGGTTGTGCTGTATACAAAATATTGAAAAATGGCATCATATTTTAGCAATTTTTGAAGAAATATTCAGGATATGTGAATAATGACGCTATTCATGACGTCATAATGCATTGACTAGAAAGAAAATTACGTCATTTTCAGTAGATATTCATTCACCAAGTGCTCAAGTATTATTTATTGTCTTGTTGACTGAAACTATACAGTTTTAAATTTTCAGAAATTCACAGGGCCAAAAAAGGCCCTAAGTGGCTCTTGCTCTTTGGATTACGAGGAAAAAAAAGATTGATCAACATTTGATCTGTTTGATTGTAAATCGCCTATAATTGCTTATCATGGATAATGCACAAAACTACAATAAATGCAAAAAATTCATTTGTGTCCCCTTAGATTAAAACCCCATGGCATTCTATCGACGATGAAAAAGGAAACCCCATCTCTATTTTTAGATTACTATAATTCTGCACGTGAAAATATTAGGGATTCCGTTACCCCTGAAATTTTCTTTAATTGTTGGGCATATATTGGGTTGATTGATAAACACATGGATAAACATCAAAACAGAATCGGAAGAGAAGTGCACAGTCAGGTAATAGCTAACATGAGAATACATGTTTACAACAACAGGTTGACGTATTCTGACGTGACTTATCATTCGTCAGTCATGATGCTTTACCAACCAAACTTTTTAACTGATTCAGAAATTCTTTAGACGGTAAAATAATCTACTTTCGATTCAGATGAAATTAATGATAATTCTCAGAAAACTTTTTTATACTGAGAGGCTATAACGGCTACAGACATTTTTGTCATCCGGTTACTAAATTCTTAGAGCATGACGAAAGAGCAAGAAATTGATAAATGTTCAATATTCTGATATTTTATTTCTTTTCAGTCAAAATCTTGTAAATAAAAAGAAATAATACAAGTAACTGATTTTTTTCAAAACAAATGAGAGTTGCCCTAATACACATGTGCATAAGCATGGCATAAAGAGATTGTAACTGAAATATTAATTACGTAAACTATTTATTTTGTTTTGATTACCCACTGAATTGTAATTTATGGCAGAATTCGTTATATTGCCACCCTCGCTTTAATGCCAAAATCTGTCTTGGATAAAAGTTGGCAATATACCGAGGTATCACTGTAGATAGAAGTCACTGGTTACTTACATGTACATATTTGTTTTAAGAATACATTCATTGTATGAAGTTGATGCTTGAAGTGTCACAAATACACCACAGATTTTGCTCCTGACTTTGTGGCATACATGTGTTGGCATGAAATTGTATGCATATAGATTACAGTCATGCTCTGTATGAATTTTATCATATGAAATGCAAAACATAAAATAACATAACATAGAAGGAACAGGAAAGGCTTATATCAAGGTTTCCTTTTTCTCACAGAGGCTGGAGGTGATGGCGTTGGTAAGAGGATTTTGGCCGATGCCCACTCCGAGTACGAACAGCTGAGGCGTGAAAATGTGGCTACCATCCTGTCATATGGTGACAACTTTATGGACATGGTGTGTCGTGATGCGTGTGATGGACACGATGTAGGACGGGTAAGGAGTGAATCTTGGTAACCTTCCTGATTTTTAGCTCCACTGGTTTCTAAATGGACAGGTTCCAGCAGTTGATGACCTATATTGTACATTTATATTTGTCTTGTAAATGATGGCTTTATCTGTTGATGACCTATATTTATATTGTCTGAGGTAGATGCTGGCTTTATCAGTTGATGACCTATATATATATTTGTCTGTTGTAAATGCTGGCTTTATCAGTGAATGACCTATATTTATATTTCTCTGTTGTAGATGCTGGCTTTATCAGTGGATGACCTATACTTATATTGTCTGTTGTAGATGCTGGCTTTATCAGTACTGGACACTATTCTGTCTATGGACAAGTTCCAGCAGTGGATGACCTTTATGTCCTCCAAAGGTTACCTCCAACACCTGGTAGACAGCCTTCTCCATGACGACCAGCAGCTACAGACACTTGTGTCTGCCACCCCTCAACTCAGAGTGCTATACATCTACCTATCTAAACTAGTATGTCTTCCATTACTACTTCATTCTTCACCCCCACATTCCTCATTATGCATCTAACATCACATTAATCTGCGACTCATTCAAAAATTTAATTTAATAATCCATTGATTTTTAATATTGATGAAGTTTAAGGGCACTTTACATGTATATACAGATACAGTGACTGTGTGTTTCAGAGTTTGTTGACTCGAGTAGCAGAATCAGCAGTGGGGGCCCACACCTTGTTACAGTGTGGAGTCATGCAGAGGCTGGCGGGGTGTGTCTTCTTTGACCTTCGACCTGACTTTGACAGGTGGGTGTGTCAGTATGAACACGTACAAACACTTAGCAGTTTAAAGGTTAGCAGTTTGGAGGTTTGCATATATACTAAATTTAGATTAGAGTTTCTGTAATCATTGCCTAAGCAAACGTGTACACTGTATGTATAAATTGTTGACTGTGTTCTATGTTTTACAGAGATGAAGCCGGTGTGGATACCGAGGAAGATTTCCTGCCCAGCCCAATGGCCCGCTATCGTCAGCTTCTCTTTGCCGCCCTCAAATTCTGTCTGGCCATGCTGACCTCACTGGGCATAGAAAACCAGGACTGTGGCAATCAGGTCAAAATCTTTTCCAGCACTAGGTGTTGTTTAATGCAAAGCCCCTTGGACCAATAGCAGTATTTAATAGCCCCCTAGAAAGTCTTTATATCATTTATCATAATATTTTGATTTGTGGGTGTCGGTGTTCATAGGCAATTAACATGTTCTTACGGACATACATGTAATTTCATTTGTAACTCATACATACATGTACGCAAGAATCATTGAACGGATACATTTAAAAAAATATTGACATGGGGATGTAAATTTGTGGGTAAGGTTGACCCACCAAATCCACAAACGTCAGTCGTCCACAAATGATGATTCCACAGTATAGTATTATTTACCATTCTATGCTGTTATAGGTGATGCAGTTTATCCTGTCTCATGGAGAAGTTTTCCACGGAATTCTGCGTGACCGGCAGCCAAGTTTAAGACTCCCAGCTTTACGGGAACTAGCTCTAACTACAGCGGTACTGACCCGAGCTAACGCCAGAGGTAAATGCTGTTATCTGTGCATTTGTAGTAGTGTTGTTTTTACTAGTTTCATTAATAAATGGTTAAAACTACGTATTTTTTGTCGTTTAAGGGGATGAAGGACACATGGTCACATGACTCTGTTTAACTACGTCATAGTCTCCGTTTATATAAGTGCAAAACGTGCAAAGCATCAGTTCTTGTATAATTTTTTGACAATTTTTTTTCCTTAATTACCATCTAATATTAAAAAAAAATGAAAAGTTTAACATTCTTGTAAACATTAACAAATTATGAAAAAGATTGATCCACTCCTCTGTTTTCCTAAACTGCGTGTCCAATTCGTCGGTGACGTCATACACGATCTGTTAGTACAGCAAGATCATACTCGGTGAATACAGGGGCGGTATTATTATGTAAAAACAGGTCATAATCAGTATATGATAAACTATTTTGAGAAACAGGGAACACAAAAATTATTTTTGCATGGCTGATGACGGAAATCTTATGTAGGTATATCTTATTTCGCTTATTTAGCTTACATGTGACGTCATAGATGGTTTTTCCCGTACTCGAGAAAAATGTAAACATGACACGTTTTCGTTCTGCTTATGTCCTCTTTAACGATGTCCTGTGCAATATTGAGGTTAGCTTCACCATTCGAAATTTTTACAATTAATCAATAATTAGAAGGACTTGCATTTCAACGTAAATTTAAAAATATTGAATGATAGAATTTTTTGTAAATTACATTTTTTGTTGTTTAAGTTGTCTTAAAAAGTTCGTAATTTTCCCATCCAGATGCAGTGTGATAGAAGAAGCTTGCTTTTTCTAATTCCAAACCCTATTCATACTCTAAAATATTTTAAAAGATACATGTTCACTTACATGTTTTTTATATATGCTTTAAAAATCCCATTATGGACAGAGTAATGAGCTCGGAAACGTGGAGAATTAAAACTCCACTTAGATACTCTAGGGCATAGTATTTGGCAACCAATATCTCTAAAATAAGGTAAGAAACCTAATGATATAACTGCTTTAAGATATGTGGGACATACTTAATTAGAAATATACAAAATATAAAAAAAATTGAATGACAAGTATTTTTTCAGCTAAAGGTCCTTCTTCCCCTTAATCGAAATCACCTCTTTTGCTAATGGTTTACTAAATAGGCATTCCAGATGCAGAATTTGATGACCTTGATCCAGCGGGAATCGAGTTGAAAGGTCAAAAGGTCAGGATTGAGAGACAAATGTTGGCATTAATGCCAAAGTACTGCATATCCGAGAGAGTCAACAAACAACTCAAGTTACTGGAGTCTGATGAGTCCACTCGAGGGAGGGACTTGAGCTCGGAGCTTGCAGTTGTCTTTTTAGAGGTGTCATCCAATGTTACTTCATACTGCCGAGCTGTCATCTCAACTTCAGGTAAACCTACAAATTTATAGAAGTTGTAATTATATTTTTTGTTAGATTAATCACTTAACTGTTGATAAACATGTCAGAATTGCAAAAAAGGGTTTTGAATTTTAGATATAAATCTGACATTATAAGTTTACGTGTATCAGGTGCCAAAAATGATACCATCAACTTTTTAAAGTGTCGGGGGCAGATAATACCTTTATAAACCTTTATAGTGTTAGGGGTAGATAATCATAAACTTCATAAAAGTGATGGACAGATAATAATTTTGTGAATTTTATATAGTCACTGTGCCAGGAGATAATCATTTTGAAAAATTAATTCAGTATCAAGGGCAGATAATCATATTTTACACTTTATACACTATTGGAAGCATTTTACCATATTGTAGATGTTAAGTAATATCAGGGGCAGATAATCATATTCTTACTTTTTGCAATGTTAGATATTTTTTTTTAAATTTGTAGGGCCAACCTCCCAGTTTTCTCGAGTTCTGTTCCGACCAAGTCTGGATGAAGCCCTTGCTAGAGATCTAGGAAGTACTGATGGTAGGTTATTTATAGCACTAGAGGTCAGAGGTCAGTAAACTGTTATACATTTAGTACAACAAGCATAAGCCGTCATCCTAAATGTCATAAATTGACAAGGTATTGCCTCACAGCAATCACTCTGTCATTCTGTCTGTCCGCAAATTTTTACAGGTTTTGGATTGTCCTATTAAGTTCAAATTCAGTATACATTATTTCAGTAGGTAGTAGGTTATATTTAAGATACCAAGGTTGATTCTGTTTGTCATCCAGTTAGGAGCCAGGGTGGTGGAGTAGATGCTATTCCTAAAGAATGGAACTGTGGCAAAGGGAGATAATTTTCCCTCTGTTGACTTTTTAAAGCTTCTTTGAATCCCCGGGGATTAATAATCTCACATACTATAAAAAATCCAGAGAATAATCTCTATCACATTTTGTATCCTTCTTTTACTTTAAGTAGGAGATAATTATTTGTCGGTCTGTCACTCTCTCCTCTGTTAAAGGTCAATGTCATAAATTTAGATACATGTATGTTATGAAATGGTACACTTTAGTTTCCACCTGATGAATTTCATATCAGAACTCCATTTGACAAAGAAAACACCCATTGATTTTGAGGTACATGTATTTCAATACCAGCAGAATGCTTAGACTTGGGATTTCTAAAGTAAAATATGAAATTTAAGATTTCAGAAATGTTTTCAACAAACAGTAAGGTTATTGTTTTGTGGTTGCATTTCATTAAAAGAATGTAGTTTAATGAGCAGGCACTTTTTGTTGCAACATATTTATATACATATTTATTTCAGGGTTTTTTTAGGGGTCGTAGGGGGCCTGTAATAGGCCCCATTCCCTATGGTAAAAAGTGTGTGTTTTTCCCAATTTCATCAAAGAAAATTCCCAAAACACAATTCGAAATTTGACATTAATGTCAATTATGCTAAGTATAATAGAAAAAAATTAAACTTATATAAAACTTCAGAACAGCAAACAAAAAACAGTTAAGCTGATTTTCAATAAAGATTTATTGAATGTAAATAAGTCAATGAATGCCTTGCAAATAAAGAAATGGCTCCTATTTGAATTTATCTTGAAAAATGTGAATTATGATATTTTTCCCAATTTTAACTAAATGACGCTATTTTTTCCCAAATGGAAAGGCCCAGGCCCTTGATTTTAAGACCTAAAAAAACCCCCTGTATTTATTTATACATTCTGCTGGTAAATCAAGGTTAATTATATAAGAAAAGAATATTTTAACTGTTATTGAAAATATTGCAATACATATCACAATACAGTTAAAAATATCACAGTATATTGTAATAAAAAATTCTCAGTCAATACTCAGTCCTCTTTTCCATAGAATAGCTCAAGTCCTCTTTTACCTTTTGCAATGAGACTTAAGGTGATGACTCGAACTAAAGAAAAACCTCTATAGATTTCTTGGCATAAAAGATGAAAGGTCAAGGTCACAAATTCAAATTGTCCAGGTTCCTGATCACCATTACTCTATAACAAAAGTATGACCTCTTGGTTTTAAGATGACGGGTGGAAGGTCAAGGTCAAAAATTTGATAGGCTTCCATCAACTTATTCTCTCTGCATACATGTGATAATTTTTAGGCCCAAATAGTGTACAGGAGTCTTCAAAATACTGGAATTTGGGTGAAAATACTGTACATTGTTCATCAAAAAACTGTACAAAATACATGTATCGATCAAAAATCAATGTAAGAGGTTCATTTTTTTATTGATAAATTTTAAATTAGCTAACAAGTGTACCACTGCATGCAGTGTTATATGTAATTACTCATTTCAAGAAATGTTTGCAGCTTTTAGAATTTCAGCAATCCCCATGGTCAATGCTGAATTTGGTAAAAAGACTTCCATAGTACAGTGTTTAATACGAGAGTCTGGTCGCTTCCAGTCATCTGCATTTTTTTTTAATGATACTACAAGCATTTCTCTTACTCTGTGTTAGAATGGACAATACTTATGTCTAAGCAGAGCAAAAAAAAGTCATAGATTAAATTTCGTGTTGCTGTCACACATAATGTTTTCTCTTTGAAACGTCTTTAATTTCATACTGACAAAATTTTAACTAATTACAGTTGAAAAACCCCTAAATAAGGGTCTTATGAAAAAATATTCTGTCTCAAAAAGCTTTGATACGTTTCAATTATGATGTAATTATCATGGGAAGATCATGATGTTTTGAGAGCAAGAATTAAGGAAAAATGGCGGTTTCCGGTAAACAATTCAAAATACGGCACAAATTTTCATTTCCCATGAATTTTGGTGTACCGCCGTGAGCCCATGAATGGGGTAAAAAATATGTGACATTTTGTGTACAGCCGGTACACATGTCACATGTATGTCTCTGTGTGCATACGTGAACATCAAATAATTTGTGGGCTCTATTGATCATATAGTGAAATTGCATCAATATACATGTATATGAAAATCTCTGCTCCTGAGTATTTAGCAAAGAAACTAAGCAAGACTTAAAGTGCTTCTACCAAAATTGTGAAATTCATAGGCCCTGAGTCACGGTACTTGATTTAGGTTTGGCTCTATCATAAATGAGTGGATATTTTTACTTTAGAGATTTCTTTCATCTTTGTAAAGGTAAACTTGAAAACCTCACAGTCATGATTAGAGTGGGTAGAGGTACACGTAAAGGTGCTTATTTTTACTTGTCTTGATACAGACACATCATTCTTGAGTATCAGTACAGTTCAGGCCCCCAGCCTAGGAGTGGTTGTGTACCAACTCCGTCAGTGTGCCACTCACTTCATGTCTGTGTACGAGAGCCACAAACAACACCTACGTAAACTACAAAGTCTGGCTGACCTTAGTACAGACGATCTCAAACAGGTAAAGAGAAACTAATAAAATTGAAAGAACAAAGAAAATGAAAAAAAAATGGAAGGTTGACGTTTTTGGTCATTTAGAGTACATCTTATTGTTTTATGCAGGGTTCTCCACAAGGGGTTTTACCGTGGCGGCCCACCATGGTTAATTTTATGTGCGCCATGGTTAAACGAGATGTGTCATGGTTAAAAAATTGGCGGCTGCCATGATTAAATTTTTATTGCATTTCAGTTTTGACACCTACTTTTTAATGACTTGAGTAGTTAATTGTGTTTATACTACGACTGCCATGCACCTCGCATACCTCGAGAGAAAGCAGACTGTGCTAAACAAACACAGTAGTTGATCGGCGAATGTGCTGTGAAGCATGACAATGGAGAGTCAATCAGCTGACAATCAGTATATTGAGGGATAATTTTCCTGTACACATGTAATTTCGGGAAATACCAACGTGTTCACTGTACGATAACAAATTTACAAAAGATGACATAACGAGCAGTAACAACATGATAATCAACAAGCATCCCATTGAAGTTTCTGTGCCCAGAAAAAAATTAACCCTTTCAAAATTTCCTATTCTTTGTATTTAATCAATTTTTCATGCTTGGTTTTTAAGTATTAATTTTATTATCTTTCTGATAAAATGTACATAAGTGCCAATCTTCGCCTTAGTTTTAGAGTTACCTCCCGTTTTTATGAAACGTTGCGTGGTGCTATTTTTAGCACTTGGACACGTGGAGAAGTAAACAATGAAGGAAACTCAGCGAAAATGCAATATGTAAAAAAAAAACGTTTAGAAAAAAAAAACAGAATAGAGAAAGCAAAATTACAGTTATGTCAAATATATGCCCCTGGTTATATTAAGTTACTTTTACCATGCATGCCATCACTTAAGTTTTCATAGACTATGTAGTTAAAAAAACTTAGGACATTACGATGTTCGTTCGTCTGTTCGTTTGTGTATCTGTTAATTTTTTTTTCAAAATACTACCCATTTATCAGTTTTAGTCATATTTAAATAAAATGTTTCATACAACAGACAACATCAATTCTGTATATCAGTTTTTGAATAATGTTGCCATGGTTACTCTATCAAAATATTTTTTTTAAATTCCTTAAAAAATTTTCCTATAGTTTTTGGCCAATTTTGGTAAACATTTGTAAAGTAAGATACATAATCTTTTTATTTATATTTTTTAGCTTTAAGAAATATCAATATTGGTTATTTCAACTTTTTGTGTTGCTGGTTAAGTTTTGTTAAACCAATCATTGATTAATGAAGGTTAGGAAGTCTAACACGCATATGTGTTTTCGGTCACATTTCACCTTCGCGCAGTTTTTTCCATGGTTAAATTTTCAAATGTGGAGAACCCTGTTCATGTCAGACTGTGTATTAAAGTTAAACTGTTTCTTTAGTTTTCTGGAGTTGAAGAGAAGCTCACATCACATCAGAGACAGAAACTTGCTAAGAACCGCCTCACCAAAATCGTGCGCTACAAAGAGGAACAACTGCAGTACTTTGCTTGTATCCTTTTTGAATAAAGCCTTATGTTACAATACAAGCACCATCAATATCTTTGAAGTTGAAGTAAAATTTTTAAAAGAATGTTAGACAGCTACTTTATATTTTGAAACATGATAATGGACAGATATATAAAATGCTTGAACAAACATAAATTGTAGTAATCTACCTTGACTGTTGCTGCAGACATCTTGGAGAACTGTCTATTTATGTTATGGCGCCACCTGGAGTACTATCTCATTCACTGCGTTCCTGTCAATCAGCAGACATCTGTGTACCAGAGTCAGACTCGCAGACACACTCAACTCAGGAGACTTCAAGGTAAGCCAGGCTTTTTTTCCTCATGTCCTTTATATGCTGCAAATGAGTGTTAAGTGAACCAGACTTGCCATCCTTTTTGTTTCAATGACATGATTACTATATACAGGGAAATTTTGCCCCCATTTTTATTTTTTGCCTTCTTCACAAGTGCGAGAATTTAAAGTGGGGCAAATTAACGAAACAGAATGATCTCCTAGACACGCCTGAGTTGGGGTGAATTTCATCCGGTTTTATTTTTGCCCTCTTACACTTGAAAACAATTTTGTTTGCAAGTGTAAGAGGGCAAAAACAAAACCGGATAAAAATAATGTATATAGTACACTGTATTGAAATTTTTTGTCTCTATGTGTAATGTACTAAATGTTTGCTGATTAGTTAATTTTTAAATGTTTGCAGATTTGACTGGGATTTCTCACTCATCATTAGGGGAATCTGAATCGGAGTCTTTACCAGACATTGACAGACAGCTTATGATGGGAGTGACCAGTGAAGATATAGAGACACTGAAGCAGACAGCAAACTCTGCCATTCATGACTCACTCCTCAAAAAGATTCAAAAAATTGACCAGGTAAAAGTTGAGGAACAGATAATAATTCCAAATAATAAAGGGAGAGGCCTAGAGGACACAGGTGTACCAAAAAAGGGAAAAAAAATGTTCATATCCCCATTAAAGAGTGGTTCACTTGCCCCTCTCCCACCACCCACTTCAAAAGACAACATTTCTCTCACAGCCCTTTCAAAAATGATGTGTCTTCCCCTCTCCAACTGACCACCTTCGAAAGTTTTTCAATACCCCTTCTCCATTAAAATGGTTATCTTACCTCTTTCCCACAGCCAAGATTAAAATATGGTTTCTCTACCCATTTCCCACAGCCTGCTTAAAAATGGTTCAGTGTTTTATGATATTAAAGGATTAATTGAAATTTGCTTATCAAAGGGAACATTGAAATTTTAGTCCATAATTGACTCCAACTTGTTTAAGATGACACTATTTATAATCAATGAGCACTTTAAAACAAGAAAGACTATAAATGAACCATATTTATCATCTAACTGTGAAAAGTATCTTTTCATTAAACCATTGATTGATTGTTTGTTTATTTGTTTATTTGTTTAGGAATATTGTAAGTCCAGGACCCACTACAGCTTTGTGGAGGCCCTCATTAGGAGAGTACGAAGACTATTGAGGCTAAACACGGGGAGCTGATAGTTATAAAAACAGACACAGGTGGTTCCCTGTAGTGAAGTCAATGATGTCTCTAAATATGACTTTAAAAAAAAGACTTTCAGAAAAAAAAATTACTGTAAATCAAGGAATGATTTTAATATAAAGTTCTACTGGCAGTGGAGCAACTGAGCTGATATTGCATGGAACTTTACATTTCAATATCTGTTTAAATCATTTTTAGCTCACCTCAACGAAGTTGGGGGAGCTTATGTAATACCCTCGGCGTCGGTGTCCCAGGTTAAGGTTTTTGGAGCAGTTTTCTTTTCAAGTACTTCTATGGCCTATATTAGCAGAGATGCATGGAGGATGCTTCTAGTGTGTTTCATTGTACCAGTCAAGGTTTCAGATGCTGCAATTTCAGGTTAATGTTTTTGGAGCAGGTTAAAGTTTTTGGAGCAGGTTAAAGTTTTTGGAGCAGGTCTCATTTCCAAGTAACTATAAGCCCTATATTGACCAAACTTGCATGGATGATACATCTAAGGATGCACACTACTGAACTTGCTTCGGATGCTGGATCTGACCTACATTTTCCGGATGAGTGACCAGTTTAAGGTTTTTGGAGTAGATCTCATTTCCAAGTAACTATAAGCCCTATATTGACCAAACTTGCATGGATGATACATCTAAGGATGCACACTACTGGGCTTGCTTCGGATGCTGGATCTGACCTATATTTTCCGGATGAGTGACCAGGTTAAAGTTTTTGGAGCAGATGTCATTACCAAGTAACTATAAACCCTATATTGACCAAACTTGCATGGATGATACATATAAGGATTCACACTACTGGACTTGCTTCAGATGCTGAATCTGACCTACATTTTCCGGATGAGTAACGAGGTTAAAGTTTTTGGAGCAGATCTCATTTCCAAGTAACTATAAGCCCTATATTGACCAAACTTGCATGGATGATACATCTAAGGATGCACACTACTGGGCTTGCTTCGGATGCTGAATCTGACCTATATTTTCTGGATGAGTAACCAGGTTAAAGTTTTTGGAGCAGATCTCATTTCCAAGTAACTATAAACCCTATATTGACCAAACTTGCATGGATGATACATCTAAGGATTCACACTACTGGACTTGCTTCGGATGCTGGATCTGACCTATATTTTCCGGATGAGTGACCAAGTTAAAGTTTTTGGAGCAGATGTCATTTCCAAGTAACTATAAGGCCTATCTGAACCAAACTTGCATGGATGATGCATCAAGGGATGAACAATCTCAAAACTTGCTTCGAATGCTGGATTTGACTTACATTTTCTGAATGAGTGACTAGTTTTAAGTTTTCAGATAAGTCTATTCCCAAGTAACTGCAAACCCTATCAGACCAAAATTGCATAAATGTTGCATCTAGGGATGCACTCTCCTAGATTATTAGTTTAGTGTGGGACTTTGCCTTACTTAAAGACAACATTCGTTGAGGTGAGCTCTGTAATCTCTGATTACCTATGTTTGTCCTTGTATTTAAAGATGTATATGAATTAACTTGAGATGAAAACATCTACAATAAAAAGGTTTTCTGAATCAGATTTCTCATGTTTCCTTTTGGGGTTACAGTTAAACCTCATTATCTTGAGCCCAATGAGGCCATGAAAAACATGCAAATAAAGTGTTTATTTTGCCCAATCAAAATCCTTGGATGAATTACATATACACTATATACATTCGTATGTAAGATATAAGGACATATCTAACTGCATTAAAATACAATAGAATCAGAATTATTAAACAGTTTTTATTCATATTTTGAATTATTAATGGATTTAATATTTTAACACCCCCCCCCCCCCCCCCACACACACACACACACACACACACACAAAACAGGAGCACTAGAAAGTGAACTTGAATCAAACATTGATATCTTTTTTTGTGGTTTTGGCTACTGGATAAAATTCCTTTCACAAATGTGTCATTATGTAAAACATATTGTTCACTTATATTTGATTTTCTTCACTCCACTAAACTCGGCTACAAAAAGGTTGTCTCTGGTGTCTACACATAAACCAAGTGGATGTTGTATATGACAGTTATCAATGTAACGGAGGAACTGTCCGTCCTGATCTAGGATGTGGATACAGTGGTTGACATAGTCTGATGTCAGGATCTGACTCTGGCTGTCTGTTGTGATGCCATGTGGAAAGAATGATCCCTTGTTATTAGAGGGATGACCAGTGTATCTAAATCGGAGTTTTCCTGCCCGATTAACCACCACTACAGCTTTGGCTCCACGGTCAGCCACACAGATATCCAGGTTTCTGTTCTCACTGATGTATTTATAGTAATCAGATGAATACAGAGGTTTACCTTCACTATCAAACTGAATGGTTTGTTTCTCTGTGGAGCCAGAGTAACGGACAACTTTTGATTGTTTATTATCAACACTGTTCATGGTAACCAGGAGGTAATCAAAGGAGGTACTACAGATATAGTAAGGTGTCCATCCCTGTAGTCTGATCACTTCCTTTATCTGGTCATTCTTCACTATGTTTACAGCTCTTGTATAAGGGTCAGTATAAACTAGATCTCCACTCCTTGTCACTGCTATGTCATATGGTCTTTTCCCTGACTTGGTTTGGATTGACTTCAGTAGTTTGCCCCGGAGGTTGTAGAGTTTCGTGATTATGTCATCTCCACATGTCCAGATTTCTTCATCACTGAGACAGGTAATACTGTATAGTCTGTTATACCCAGTGTCTATGGTGGTCACGAGCTCTGGTTCATCAAGCAGTGGTTTGACTGGAGGACAGGATACAGCTTCTGGTGTCTTCATTGTGTAGCCCTGTTCTTCTGTTGTAATGGATAATGCTGACAAAGAACCAAACATTTGATGGAGTTGTTCTGTGTTGATCTGATGAGGAGAGAAACTTGGTAATGAAACATTGACTTTAGGAGGTAAACTTTTAAATTCAGCATTTTTTGATATGTATGTAGATGCCATGGAAACATCATTGGAGTCCAGTATTTTCTTCAAGTCAAGAATGCACTGTTTTATATCAAAAGTAATCTGTTTGATTTCATTTTCCTGTTTATTTAGAGCAGCCAGATGTTTAGTTTTCATCTCATCAATTTCAGATTTCTGTTTGTTGACAATGGTGTTAATTTCTCTGTGCCAGTCTTCTCCATGTTTGGTGACAGCTGTTGTCAGTTTCTCATAATGTTTTTCCAAGTTGACGTTTTCAGATTTTAAATTTGATGTTATTTCTTCATATGTAGGATAGATTCTTTCCTCGAGTTCTTTCAAGTCTTTTTCTAATTTTTTTGTTACAGAACTTAGTTTTTGCAGAGCATCAGATAAATCATGTCCTTTATGTTTCCCAGAGGAGAGGCAGGTAGAACAGACAGGAATGTCACATTTCTCACAATAAAGTTCACAATGTTTCTGGGTGTGGTTTGGACATTTTGGGTAGTAAGGAGTAGAAGTTCTGTGTTTGTATGGTACAACATTGTGTCTTTTAGATGAATCAGAGAGATGTTTTCCAACACAAACTATACAGAGGTTTACATGACAAAGTTCACAATGACTCTGTAATGCAGCTCTTTGACACAGGTCACAGAGGAGGAGTACTTGAGCTCTGTCCAGGGGGTTCATTACTGGGGCTTCGGAAAAAAAAATAGATGACATTTTTTTAAGTAAATAGAGACTTGGATACTTGTAACTGACAACAGAAATTTTATTTTAATTTAAACAAGTACAATACAGTGGCGGATCTAGGAATCTTGAAAAGGGGGAGGGGAGGGAGTGACCAGTTTGGGGTAGGGGTAGGGGCCCACGGCCATACCAAAAAAATTGATTTATTAAATCTTATGTATATGGGGGGCCCCTTCTCTAAATCCGCCAGTGCTATAGAAGGGTTTAGTTTAGTTCGTGAATTTTAGAAATGACAGGAAAGATATATTTCAAAATGCTGTGTTAACAGTCATTATGTTTGATTTTTTTTTTTTTTCAAAAAGAAAAATGACTTTGCACCTCATAGTAATATAATCAGTATGACCTAAAGTGGCTCCTCTTTCATGCATCGGTTAATGTATTTCACAACACTTTAGATCAAATACATTTAGGTAATGTTTTGTTTCATGTTAAATCTTAAATATTATCTTGTCTCACCTTTAGATCCAGCAATGCCTTCCTGAGAATCCTGCACACTCTTCACTCTAGATTTTAACCTGTTACCAGTCATATGATTCAAATACCTGAGATATCTTTTATCTGTCGATGTAGAGATATAGATTGTTGTACCACAGTTAGGCCATTGCAAGTTTTTTCTATGTTTAGTGTCCGCGTGCGCCTTGGTTTCTGACACCCCATTTCAGAAAAAAACAAAAAAAAAACAAACTCAGGAGTCCTAAAATTGATTGTCTTAGTCAAAAGCTCAGAAATTTGTCAAATTTTGATAACATTTTATATAAAAATATTTCTCTCTAGTACGTCATATTGTGTATACACTACGGTCAGCGCGGATCCCGTATTTTCCCGCGACCCCGTGATGGTGTTTTAATCCTTTCCGCGATACACCGTCGCGGTTTTATCATCCCGGTGATCGCGGGGACACGAGATTACCTTGACGGTGTGCTCTACCATATTTTATTCAATGTGAAGTCGATAATCCTTAATTTCAAAGTAAGGATATTTAATTGTGAATATATAAGATCGATTTTTTTTTTAAATTTGGCTTAAACATGTTAAAATTCTAGAAATAATTTATAAAATCTCTTTTTTTCAGTCTAAAGGGTGATATTTGAATGATACTTGGCATTTATTCTATCAAAATATTATCATTGAAACAGTTGTAGTTTTCTAATAAGTAACCTGAATTATATTGAGGAGATCTATAAGTCAACATAATTTTTTTTATTGTAGTAAATATCGATTTATATTACGCCCTTTTTTTCATCATAAGTTTTTTTCATACAGTATTACTAAAGTTTTTTTTCCGAATTGAAAATCGCAAAGTGTATATCGATGAAAAAAAAATGAAATGAAAACACATAATTTCACGCCAAAATACCTCTTCCAACATTTTCAAATATTATTTACAATAATCCCGAACATCTGAATTAACGATATATTGATCATCACTTAATTTGTTAGAATTATGGGCCTGAATGGAAAAAAAAACAGCTCTGTTCATCATGTTCATATATTCTAAAAGAAGTCGACAATTGCCATTTTCATAAAGCTAAAAGAATTAATTAAATGGTTGCGTTCTCAGCTGATAATTAAGCAGAGAAGTCATGAACTAAATAAGTTGAAACTGACCAAACACGTGTACATGTATTACACAATCACAGCGTGTGCAGTGGGGCGTACCTAATCCTATCGGTCGCCCACTATAAGACTATAGGTTCTCGGAAAATTCACGAGATGATCAAGACCTTTCACGATAACCGTGTTTTCAAGCTGTAAAAACTGCATGTATAACATGACCATATTTCAGTAGCCGGTCTTGACACCTTGATCACCCATCATACATATAGGTTATATCAACTGATCAAACGCAGTCCTGAAATCACAAAAATATCGTTATACTTGTATAAAGAATTAAAAAAAAAAATAAAAGTCTTCTTTTTTATTGGTCCACGATCTTGAAAAACGGGACTGTCAGAGTAATTATTGAAACCAAAGAGAAAGGTTTCACGAAACTGAAACTTTTGTATCATTTAAGGGAGTGGGTGTTAAATTACACACTTTAATTTTGGGAAGAGAATTAACATGAGGATTTGTTTGCAACGCAAAAGAGTGTGTGCGGGGGGGGGGGGGGGTTATAAGAATAAAAATCTAAAATAATTTTTACACTATACAGTATTATAATATATTTATTTAATCAACACACTTCATGAATGCCCAAAGTAATCAATAAATATGAACAGTCTGATTAAAACCACCCCCCCTTCTCCTATCGTCGTCGATATGCGAATATGAGATACTTATTTGATCTATTTTTCTCTATCATATTAATGCATAACACTTGCTGTTTGTTCAAAGCTTTCAAGCTCTGGAGGAATTCTGAATGAAATTTCATTTTTCTAATAGTTGCTGAGAATTTAATGTTGTATTGAATCAATGGAAAATTTTGTATAAAATAATTTGCTACTTATAGAATGGACAAATTATTTTATAGTTTGCAATGTATTTCAAGTTTTACGAAGCAGACTCCTATTCAATATGAATGCAAAATTTTGCATGTCCAGGTATACAATACAGGTAAATCACAGCTTTAAGAAATCTAATCTATTGTTGTGCAGACGTATGTGTATATCTATTATCCCATGACCGACAGATTTTTCTTTGATCTTCACAAGGGTGTATATCTCATATCAACATAAGTGTGGTGATATTTTAAATATCACATGTGTGATATAAAGCTAGTGATATCCAACTGTTAGATACAGGGTGTAGGAGGAGCTATGCAAATGAGACAAAAATTCGTTTCTAAATTTTAATGAACTAAAACAAGAAAAAGGCACAAAACATAGCAAATTTCACACAACTGATGACATTTCTAAAATATTGGCAATTTCCC